TGAGTATTGAGCAGCCAATTATCATGAGCTTAATTTAAATAAGAGTGAGCACAGGTAAGCCCTTCAGCGTCTATATCCCAGTTAAATGCTCTTAGCACTAGGTTCTTGACTGCTCAGAGGGGAATTTTGACTTTAACAGAAGCTGGGAAGGTGGAGGCAACTTCAAACTATTCTGAACTGTCACCACTAGAATTATGGAGCACAACAGGTAGCCCACCACAACAGCCTGTGTGACAGCAGCTGCATTTACACACTGAAATGTTCAGGAGACATTCATCAAGAAATACTTTTGCTGGAAAAAGCTGTTTCACATCATGCACTAATTCATTTGCAGTAGTCATGTGAAAATACATTAAGAGAATAAAGCCTGTGCAATCTTTTGTAAAGAGCTCAGTAGTCCTCCTGGGCACTGATGAAACTTGATAACTTTTCCAGGACAAAACTTTCCAAAACTAAAAGCCTTCTGTAATGGCACAGAAAAAGTTTTTGCAGGCCTGTCCACAAACTCTGCACTTTGTGAGGAATTTTAGGCTGCTGGCATGTACTTAGAGTGGCTATTTGGCAGACAAAAAAATCTAGGATTTCCTTTCCTATCTGATTTCCCTTGTCAACGGGAAGAGAGGACAAGAATAAATTAGAATATGGGGTAAATAATACGACTTTTAGATTTCATTGAAGGTTAATATCTTATTTCCATATCTAGTTCTTTTTGCTTTAGCCCTCTGGTTTAACCAAACATGTCAGCAAAAGGAAACCTGAAGGAGTTGTGACCACAGAAGTGTGTTTTAAAAAAAAAAAAAATTAAAAAATAGAAATGGAGAAAAAAACTCATTAACATTTTAAGAGAAGCTTCTTTTTGAGAAGAGGTTCTTTTTGAATCCCAGATCTTTTTGAATCCCAGATCATCTTACTACTCGTGTATCAGTGATTGTTTTATTAGTTCTGCAGTATCAGTTGATGGGACAGAAAGGGAAGGAAGCATTTATGGGTCCTATTTCAAGTCCTGCCACCGATTTGCTTTTATGACTTTAAATTCTGTTTCTTTCTGTATCTCAAGCTTGTACAAGAAGGAGAGAAACCAGTATTGCCTACATTACAAAGACACTAGGAAAATAAATTAATTTTTAAGGTGCTCTAAGGACCCGGGAGAGAGTACTGACCTCCAGAAGGATCATTCACACTGAATGACAGTATCTCACGAATGGTAAATGATGCATTTTTGAAGCATTATGACTTTCATTAACATTTAGAACATAGCACATTGGAGAGTATTTTTTTTTTCTGGTTTGCTGGGTAAGAAGGTTCTTCACTTACACCACAACTCTTACTTGAGCAGGAAAACGGCGCTGGATCGCTACAGCCTGGAGAAGGCAGGCTTCACCCACATCCTCAACGCCGCCCACGGGCAGCGCAACGTGGACACGGGACCAGAGTATTATCACAACATGCCTGTGGAGTACCATGGAGTGGAAGCAGACGATCTCCCCACTTTCCAGCTCAGCCAGTTCTTTTACTCAGCTTCTAAATTCATTGATAACGCGCTCCAGGATGAAAGAAGTAAGGATGGTGCTGAAAAGGGTTAAAAAGTACAGTATTTACTCCACCTGATTGTAAGCGTAGTTCCACAGCATTCGACCTGGCAGGAATAAAACAAGTCTGATGCAGTGTAACAGAAAATACAGAATCAGTGGCAGGGAGCTAGTTTAAGAGAAGATAGTGATGTAGCTAGGACTTTTGTCACTGTAGAGCCTAGGACGAGCCCAAGAGCCCCTTACCAAGAACCCTGATAAATCACAGCTTGCATTAAGGTCTCCTGTTTGATAAAGAGGGTTTTTTTTTCATTGTTGCTTTAACTCCTTCATAAAGACATCAGAGGCAATCAGACATTGCACAGATTGCATAAATTAAGCTGTCTTTTCCTCAAATTAGTCCCTATTAAGAAAGTTTTAAAGAATGTTGGTTGCATAGCCGTGGGAGTGGAACACAAGTGCTCTGCAGAGATTCCAGGCTGCCACTCCACAGCTTCATGCTCTGCAGCATTAGATTCACTCAACAAATACAAAGATCACCTTCCTACCTGGCCATCAGATTACCCCCCAAGCTGTAACAGATTTATCCCTCTGCCATCTCTCAAGCAGCAGGGGACCGAAACAACTCTGACAGCAGAGATCTAGAAACATTTCATTAAAGCCTTTGTAATTTCTCAGCTCGATTACTACAATTCATTATTTGCTGACCTCCAGCAGTGTTCTATCAGAAAGCTTTACACTGATGTGAAATGGTACAGCCTAGGCTTCACACTGACTTTCAGTATTCCTCCTACTCCTTTCCCCTTCCCCCTACATGCCTTTTTTAAAAAAAAAGAAAAAAAAAAAAAAGAAAACCAAGCCAACTCTACAGGGTATTTTACCAGAAACCAGCTGAGAAACTTCCGAACAAAGACCATAATATCAGAGGGTCACATAAATTTCCAGCCTTGTGTCAGCTTCTGTTCCAGGCTGTTCAGCTCAGCTGTAGCCAGCTATTACCTGCCTTGCCCTCAGTAGCCAGCCAGGTCTTTACAATTTTACTCTTTCAGCAAATACAGTCTACAGCAAGAGTCCCTTCCCTTGTTCAGGAGAAAAGTCTTGAAGGCAGCTCAGTTTTAAAAATCAAAGTCCTAATAGCAGGAGAAACTGCTTCAGGAGCTTACTTGCTTCTGAAGAAAGGTATCCAGCATTTCAAAAAAGTATGTCAGAAGCACTGCATCTGGGAAGGAGTGGATAACTAACACACACCTGTGCCTAGTCACGGCTGGAGGCCAGAGGTCAGTATTGAAATGGAGTAGCTGAAATAAGAAATGCAGACTTCCTCACTCCCACCCTCCTCCTGTCCCTGTCAGACCTTTGCCTGCTGCACTCAGGTAAAAAAACAAGGACAAGGGAAGCAGCAAAGGCTAGGAAAAAAAAAACACCTTGCATCTCAATAAATATCTGGGCAGGGAAGGATGGGATTGGGTGGGGTGTGAGGAGCATTAACCTTTTAATTTCAAAACCACATTGAAGTCCAGGAACTCCTGAGACAGTATCAAGCACCAGTCCAGCATCGAAACACAAGATCCAATCAAAGAGTGACCGGATGAACTACAAAAAAGTCTGCAATTAAGTAGATATGACAAGCTGCAGTAATTTCTGTAGCTGTGCACTGCCTGCCACATTCACATGGTCTTTAAACAAGATAGCTATATCTTTTGAAGGAGACCAATAAAATCAAGACTTATTAGAATACTCGTGAAGAAAACAGGCAAGCTCTCAACTTTTTCATGAGGGAAAAGTACTCTAAATGCACATCTCCTATCCCAGCCCAAAACAGGCATAAAGGCATGAATACATAGCACATGAAGACATTGAGGCTGAATGTGTGACAACACCTTTCCAATATACCTTTGCAGAACAAGGGAATAACCCCAGAAGTTAGACTAAAGAGTAGACTGATGCCTCTTACAGCAGACTAGGGGCAAGTAACTAGCACTCTTCTCCAACATAAATGCATTATTGTGACTGTGCATCTAGTGCAGAAAGATGCTCTGTATTTCAAGTGACTAACAGAAGGAGGAGTATTTAAGTGCATCTTCCTGACTGTCAAAAAGCATCCAGGTTACTAAACAGGGTTTTATAGTAAGTAGCCAAGTACCTATTTTCAGTGGTAATAACACGGGACTTCAGTATATGGTGCTAAATACTTCTATCAGTAACACAATTTCATTCATTTGCTACTTTGCATTAAAATTGACTGAGTGCAAAGAGAGGGAATAGGGGAAAAAGAAAAAGAAGTTTTGACTTTTGTGACCACAACGTGTGTGTTGGTGAATTTACTTTGGCTGTATCACACTGTTTGGGTGCGGCCTTCTGTCAGCCAAGTGAGTTGAATAGATGTCTTCACACGATGCTTTTTGCTGGGCAGATGCTCAATAGTCAATGTTGTTGAAACAAACAGTCATGCAAATGAAGAAGCCACTCTTCTATCTGCAACAGGCCAGAAAGCTTGGTGATTTGGATGCTGTCAAAACACAGTGCTAATATAGTAATTCTGACTTAATGTTCAGTATCTTTGTGATGGTGAGGAAGCTCCCTGATCAGAGCAGTTTTTGCAGAGTTTAAGCATGCACAGATGGACTTAAGAACAGTGAAAGTAGCTCAGTTATAAGGGTAGGCTTTAGAGGCAAACTCAAAATCATTCACAGTTACGTACACTATCGTTTAACTGTGCATAAAGATTTCCCAAAACGTACAATTCAGGCCATAGGACAGCTTAGAACTTATATCAGCAAGGCCTGATTAACCTGAAAAGAAGACACTATTTAAAAAGCTTATTAACTTCCCTTCTATGCCACAGGTTTAGTACTCATTCCCTTGGTGATTTAGTTCCTCAGAATGTAAAGTAGAGGAAAATAGCATTTTCTTTTCTTGTGAAGATGTCATGGGAAAAAATACACTAAAGACAGAAATAAAAAAAGCAATGTGAGAAGAAACATACATGACACATACAAAGACCAAAGGCATCTGACCAAATACACCTTCACATTCATCACTCCATCTGACTCTGGAAAGAGGGTGCTGCATCTAAACAGATTTTCAAGAAACACAAGCCCAAACCAAGTGACCAAAATAGTTCACCAAAATAGTCACCCCTCAGCAGACCCCTGGCTCTGTGCACCTACACTTGATATTCAACCACACATTAAAGGATAGAAGTGGTCAGAATCAAAGACTGCAAGAGTGGACTCCCTCTTGGGAAGAGATGGTTCAGATTGGTGCTTACATGAGAAATGAAGAGACTACAAAATAGTACAGAAGGGACATGGCTCTGCAGGATAGTACCAGTCAGATCTTGAATATTCATACACAGAGAAGAATAGACTTTGTTTTCCTACAACCAGGAGGCATTTCAGATAATTGTGTTAACAAAGGCAAAAAATAGTTGTACAATATAAAACTGTACATTTTCTCCTACATTCTCTGCATTTGCCACCCACACAAAACAAAGCCTCCTTTGTCCTATCATGTATTTTATCACTTCAACAGCAACCCATTTACAAGGTGGGAAGCTCTAAAGAGAACCATGAACGGCTGAACAAATGAGAGTTTTGACCCATTTCAAATATTTGCAGTAATAATAGAAGGGATTAGAATTTTCCAGGAGAGGAAGAGGCACTTTTAGTTATCAGAGAGACTGGAATTTTGCCAAGATGCCTCTAACACTATCTGCTGGGATTAGGATGCAGACTGTAACCATTAATCCTCTAGTGCTGGCAGTTGTCAATGCAGCCATTTCATAGCAACGTTACTTGTGCCAAGACATCCTCTTATGCCTGGAAGCAAAGGAGTTAATCGACAGGAGTCATGGCTTTGCACCCAACACTTCTCACCAGGCATAGCTGACAGAGATAAACTATTATTGGCCCTGATAGGGATTTTTTTTTTCCTGTGGCAATTCAGCTTAGCAGGGTGTTAGAGAGAGTGCTTCAAATCTACTTCCTTCAGCAGTTTAACCCTTTGTGAGATCCCCTCAAGGGCTTTGAATCATTTTTTGAAATCTTTTGAAGTGTTTCAAAACCTGTCAGTTAGGCCTGAACCCTCTTAGTGTTCTCTCCTTCCACCTCTCCCAGATACAGCAAATGGCGAAGGCTCCTCTTTGGCTTACATCCTTGCTAGAACCTGAAGCCACAGACTTTTCTGCCTCTGGAAGTCAAAAGTTCAACAAGCAAAGCCACAAAGCTAAATCTTTAGGCACATTTATTCAGAGATGAAAACTATTAGCAGAGACTTGGCTCTCACAGGACATGAGACAGGCTACTACTGCAAGACAATCATATAAAACACTCAGATGTGCTGGTGCTGAAATGCTACTTTCATTCAACACGACAGGGTAAGGGTGACTAGCCAGAGATTTCTAAAGAAGCTTTTCTACAGTTAAGAGACAGTTTCTTGCTATCCCCCTGGTTATAAGCCTATTAACTTCTATGGCCCTTTTTATTTTCTGCCCTCAGAAATATCACTGAGTCTTAAAAAAGCCTTGTTAGCTGTATTTTACAAATGAAGCATTTGGGCATGAAGTGATGTAATGTAGATCCTGAAGGACGTTATTGTCAGAACAGCAACAAAAAAACCCAATCAAATTCAGTTAGCTTTTTTTTGTCTAGCCTGTAGAACTGAGAAAGGCACCTCCAAGCATCTCATTTGGCCTCATGGAAGGATAGTTCGGTAGCATACCAAACCCTGCCATACCTTTGTGCTTTGGTCATTATGCCAAACAGAGAATTACATCTGTGCTGCTTTTGAGCCATGAAAGATTAAGCTGCAGCAGGGCTCGCTATGTTACTTAATGCAAGGCTGCTGCCTACAGGCCTTCTCTGCAACCCTTGTTCATAAATAAATTCAAAGATACTTGGTTTAGGATTAAAAGGGCGATCTCAAATGTAGATGATGTTTAGTTACTACAGTAAGACTAACAGCCTCATTTTCCCTACCTGTAAAAAGTTGTGCCTTACAAAAACGTTGGCAAGGGTAGTCGGAGCACCAAACAGAGCAGGGGCACTACAGAAACCTTCACTGTCGAGAGAAGAAATTACCTGGTGACACCTTTGCTTCATTTCTCTTTGTTTCCACAGACAAGGTTCTGGTTCACTGTGCTATGGGTCGCAGCCGGTCAGCCACATTAGTCTTGGCTTACCTGATGATTTATAAGAACATGACAGTGGTGGATGCCATTCAGCAAGTATCAAGACATCGATGCATTCTGCCAAACCGGGGCTTCCTGAAGCAGCTGAGAGAACTGGACATAGCACTGGCACTGCAGAGGAGGAACGCCAAAACCAGCCTACCATCTGATGATGATGAGAAAAGCACCACGACCTAATATCACTCCTGGCAGTGTTGTGCCACTGGAAAAGAAACTCCGTAAGAGGAGGGGAGGTGAAGGTGTATGTAATTACACTGTCACAAGGATCACTTGTTACTTGGAAGGAAAAACAAAGTCATTTCACATGCTGTCAGAATGAGAAAGAACAGAAGCCAAATTTAAAACATGTCTTGTTAGAATCTTCCAGCCTTAGTAGAATTTTTCTTACTTCAACAGACAAATTCTACCCTCTGTAAAAAAAAAAAAACAAAACAAAACCTTTGACAGCACAAAAGCAGGCACAACTTTAAAAAATCCCTCTTCTAGGCAAGTACCCCCCAGATTCTGATCGTAACCCAAGCACATGGCCTTTAAAAGAGTGAAGCTAGGCATTTCTGAAGAAATTTTGCAAGAACACCACCAAGGTGGCAGCGGCACAGATAAGCTGTTAAGTTTAGTCTCAGAGTCCTGAAGCATTTTCCAGAAGTTTGCCTTTTTGTCCAGTTCCCTGTGGTCTCCATTTCTTCTTTCACAGTAGTAAACTAGGGCAGCACAGCATTTAGAGAGCCTTCAGATAAGGATCAATTACACACTCTTCACCATGGACTCTACAGCAGACCAAACCAGAAACAAGGCAAGGTCCTTGAGAAGGTTAGATGCACACGCAGCTATAACAGACAACAATTCAAAGAGATACCTACATGGCGTTCTAGCAGTTTAACTTTTTCCTAAATGCTTCAACTGCTTTTAAAAGGTCCTATACATAGAGTGTGCAAGTCAACTTGTACACACACACACACAAAGACTGAGAAAATTGTGTTGTGACCTGTTTTTCCTGTGCTTGGAAAAAGTAAATGCTAGAAAAATAAACAAGAAAAATAGGATGTCCTCTACATTGCTAAGAGGAAGTTCAACACTGAACTTGTGCAGCCCTGATAACCTCCTAAATAATAATGGATTAAAATAAGTTCTAATGAGATTTTAGTCTTGATTAAAAGAGCAGGAGACACAGGTGAAGCCTTTAAAAAATATCTCACAGTGACCTGACTAACCAGGAGAAAGTTGCTGCTGTGTTTCCAGACACCACTATTTATACTTAAGTCCAAATGTTTCCTCCTATCTCAGCTTTAGCTACTTTAGTACGTTATTGTGCTTTAATACAGTCACTAATAATTGTATTTGTTGACAGAAGTAGTCAAAATACACAAATAGGGACACTGGATCTACTTTTCTGCCTAAACTTGTTCAATTTACTATATTTGATACAAATTATCAGTACTGCGTTTTGATATGAAAATTTTGCCACCTCAGCAATACTTGGTATTCTTAAAAATATACTGTAGAGGAGGTTCAGAATTAACCCGTGTTTAGACTTCTTTGCAGATGTAAAAAGCAAGTCATCACCTTCCCCACTGGAATTTTGTCTAATTCAATCTGTCATGTAACAGCAATTTATTGCCTCAGTGCCTGAGAAGAATGACCTAGGCACCAAGAGCACAGGAGAGTTTCTGTTGATCCTTACCAGCTGACTACGACTTAGTAACTTTGGTGCAGTACAGACTTTAGAAGTCTGGTTATCTTTTTTTTTTTGTTAAAAAAAAAAGGAACACGGGGCAGAAACATGTCACTGAGAATGTGAGTATATGCTACAAACCAAATACAGTTGAGCAGAAATTAAAACCATTTTTTGTAGACGTTAACTCTTTACAGGCTTAGCATCTCAAGTATGAAAGCTTTCCTATTCATTCATTTCTTTTGGGGGCCTAAGTCCCAACACATCATCCATGACCAAACAGTAACTGCAGCCATGGCTGCAGGCACACATTATACACTGCTCTGACTTACCATTTGTACTTATCTTTATAATAAACACCTTACCTTCAAATTCCAAATTCTCAGACACAGCAGAACACAAGCACAACTAGGGGACTTTTAAAAAAAAAAAAAATTAGACATCACAACGTGGACAATATTCATGGAGAGAGATACACAAACTCTGAGACTTACAGCAAATTAAGTATCCCACCACCTGGATAGGGGAAAAAAAAGCAAGCAAAATAAAAACAGACCTAAAAGGAAGCTCAAAGCAAGTTGTGTGACTTTGGTTTAAGGAGTCAAAAAATTCTGGGTCTGGGTCCCTCAACTCTTTCCATCCACTGCCACAGACCTTCAATCACACCTTTTCAGAGCACCTGACTGTCTACTGCAATCTAATTCAGAAGCCATACGTGGCAGACCTCTCCCAGGCTGGACAAACCTGCCTGTCAGACACGTGGCCCTGCTCTGCTCTCCACCTGGATGGGGAAAGCCGAACTCCCTCACCCGCAGGGCAGCAGGGTGTCTCTCAGCATCAGCCTCACTGACAGGATTCCATACCAAGTGATAGACTAAAACCCAACAATGACCTAACCACATTTCCCTCAGTCATGGTAGAGGTCGTTTTTTCCTGTATCCTGCATAGTAGCTTGAGGAATGCTGTAACTGGAAGAGGTTTGTAGCCCATTTATATTTACCTGCAGAACTGTATTAAAACAAGAGGGTTTTTTTGGGCCTGAGATGGGTTTTTCTTTTGCATTCTGAGCCTTGTGAAAATGCACAGGAAAAATTCAAATTTCCTGAGGCCCAGCTTCTTTTGGTGGAGACTGACAAGAGCCTCCCAACTACTGACAGAAAGCAAAATACTAGAATTCTTCAGTAGTTCCCACTTATTGTGTCCTGCACAGATTAGGGAACTGGCACATGGTAATACTGATGGAGTGACAGGAGAATGTACAGACAATTTCCAAAGGACAGGATTCCAAGCTACTCAGAAACTAGGAGCTGCTATTCTTGCATGGAGATGAAAAATAGCCCCGAATTTCTATCTCTAGAAGTAAATCAATAGAACCCCATATTCCAGTGTTTCTACACACACTACCTGAAGGCCTTAAACATGGCATGATTAAGTGTATTTATTCTTATTTAGTAGATGGGGAAAAAACTGTCACAAATTCAAATTACTCAAGTTAAATTATGATAAATTGAAAACTGTAATCCTACCTTCTATCTTAATACAAACTCTGTCCCTACTCCACAAAGCTTAAAACAACTTTCGATCAATGTATGCTCCACTATGGGAGAGCTCACTTGCAGAGCTTCACTATGGAAGAGTTGACCTATACGAGGCTGTCTATTATAGGTCATAAAAAAGGATGGAAATACATAGTTGTAATGCAGAGAAGTATTAAAAGTAAAGGGAAGAGGAGGAAAACCAGAGTCACAGGTCTTCACTACATTAGTGAGTTTGCTTGCTGCTAAAGGTGTCAGGTCTCTACAGAACAGGCTGGATTAGCATCACCCTCAGTGCTACAGATCGTGCCAGGCACATTCTGTCTATTTACCACACGGTATATAAATGGAACTTGTTTCCATCAGCCAGCCTACTTGATGGACAAACTAAACAGCTTATGAAGCTAAAAGACATAGATAGTGATCTAACATGAAAGTTTTGTACCTTTAGAAAACCTATTTCCGCTTATCTCACAGAGCTTCTTACAAGGTTAGTAAAAAATCAGTTTTATTTTGTCCACTGCTAGAAGATAAGGTAGGCAGAGTGCAACAACACTTGCCATTCTTGTCTTTGCTAAAGGGCTACAGTTCAGCTTTTTACAGAAAATGACAGGAGTACTGTCATCCAGCAGCTCCTAAATCAACTAGGTTCTGCTCCAAAGACGAGTATCTTCCCTTGAACCAGGTCTTGCCTGAACCACTCTGCTTGTACAGCTATGCCAATTAAGCAGTTCTGAAGTAAACATACCTCTTATTTACTTCCCAGCTTTCTTCCCTACCATTCTCTCAGAATCAGTTAGACTACATCAGAAAAAAAGCTAAAATTCTGTAACGTGTAGCTTCCAGGCAACTGCTCTAAGTTGCTATCTCAGCCAAGCAGCATGAACTTCAGTAGCATCACCAGCTTCACCTACAGGCCAGGTCTGCAATCAATGCAGATGCAGAGTGAGGCAAGTTTATTTCCTTCTTACCTGTCTCTAGTGGTATGGAGTATTTTGTCACATCAAAGACTGAGACTGCAGGGGCAGGGAAAGCCCCTGTATTCACAGGGATCACTTCCTGCCACCCCGGGGAGAACTCTTTCTGAGGCACTGACAGCTAACTCCCAGCAGGGAGGGTGCTATGGCACACAGTCAAAACTGACACTGCAACGGGCACACAATACATAGAACATGTAGATCTGTGAAGGAAAAGACAGCCTTCTCATAAAACAGAAGTTTTAGTGCAGTACTGCAATTCACAGCTAAATAGTCACCATGGGAAAATACGTATGAGAGCCATTTGTACTCCTGAAAGAAATTCAGTTCTAAAATAAAATTAAAAAATAAACAAAAAATATTTGGAAACTTGCCTGTTGTGCACACACAGTACATCATTTTCCACCCAACTTTTAATCCATATATTGCAAGTACATAATTTTAGCAATATGCTGGAGCCAGGATGCTCTGTTTCAGGTCAGCACATACTTAAATGGAAGAAGGTCAGGTTTGCTTGTATGTTACTGGCTTCAAAAGCTGAAAATAAACAGCAGTAGATAAAGACCCAGGTGCCTTTTTCAGTCACCGTAAAAACACACAAATGAAGAATTACAAAATATAGTGCCATTTTGAGATCCAATTATTCAGCAAAGATAGAAGATCCTAATTGCACATACTCAAAGGTTGCATGTTAACTGTGTTGAGTTCAACTTCCTTTTTCCCCAAGCAAAAAAAAAAAAAGCTGGCAGCGACCTTGTGAAGATGAACACACATATAGTTTAGGTACTGTGAATACACCCTGCCTTCAAAAAAGCAAATCTGACAGTAAATGCATGAACAAAGATCTTTGTTGTATTATGCTCTCCTTATTAGGCATTCTGAACTCCTAAAACACACGTTACTCCAAATTACTATTTGACCAAGCATTTTAGCTCCCATTCAGATCCACTATTTTAGACTGCAGTCCCACCATATCAAACTGAACAGGTTATGTGCATAAATCTGTAATACTGATTTCTTGATTTGGCAACACCACACACTTTAAGGGTTTTATTTAAAGAATTATACATTTGTCTGACTGTTGTGCATGTAAAGACATCACCTATAAAGCTGCTTTATATACCAAATGGGGACACAAATTCCAGTCAAGGCAAACAACTCCCTCACCATACCTAGAAACCTTACTGCAGCATCAGTGGGCTAGAGGAGCGATTCAGTGGCAACACCCACATTTTAAGCATTTTGAAAAATTCTTACATGGATTCTTTCTGGTGCAGGTACACATGCACCCAATTTTTTGGTCCACTCATGAGCTCCATGTATAGACATCCTTCTTGATTTTTTACACATCTACTGCTAGATTACGAGTGTTCATCTATGTGTGTGCGTGTTTGTGTGTGCACATACACATGGATATACACAGAACTCAGAGGTTCAACACGAGATGTGCATTATCTTTAACCCAGCAACAATAACAAAGGAAGATATTACAATTCTGTCATTAACATACAGTTCAAACACCATGTCTCTTACTATTATATACCCTTTAACATATATATATTAATGCTTTCTATAGGAAAGGTTTAATACATTAAATATTGGCAACCTTGTAAAGTATTAAATACATATATTCAATATTTTATTAAGACTATTAAAAAAAATAATCTTAGATGCTCTTTATTTTCACAAGGTGTATGCAGTTATGATGAGTAACCTACACTTGGGCTCTAACAGCTGAATCCAAACCCCATCAGTGTCAGTGGGCTTTCGATGAAGCATGTGAGAGCACTGTAACAAACACTATTTCTGGAGGTAATTCCCATGCAACATCAAACTATGACAAGACACAAGAGGCTAAAAATGGCTCATCATAATTTATTTTATGTTAAAATGTACAGCTTGGGGGTGGGGTGTTGTTGTTTTTTGCAGTTTTTATTTTTGTTTCTTGTGTGGTTTTTTTGTGTATTTTTTTTTTTAAGTGACTGACTAAAAAGATAACAGATAAATACAAGAGTGTCACTGGGTCCTATTTTTACATGTATCAAGCCTCTTCTGTTCGGCCCTTACAGTCACTCTGTACAGGTACAAAGGCTACAAAAAAAGGAAGCAATATAAACAGACACAAATAACTTTTGCCTTTTTACATGCGATCTGTAAGCTTAGTTTGAGCTATTCACACGCTACTGCTCTATTTTTTTCCCTTAAAAAATAACTCCAATATTTTATAAAGATAGAAAAATCTACAGATGGAATGAAAATGTAAAGTTAGAGGCATTTCCATAAAATAGCAACTTTACACCAAATTCACTATTTTTTCTTAAATCCTGCCAAGTATTTGGACATATATGAAAATGTTTCAAAACTTGACAAATAAACACTGAGATGTTTCAATCAACAAAAAACATAACAGTATTTATAAAACAGAAAGCTGCCTTTTTCCTATCCCAGCCCCAAAGAAACTGGTCACAAAAATGGAAAATAGTCTCAACTTTACACTAAACATACAACAATAAAACCCTTTGAACTAACCAAGATGTGAATAGCTTTTGCAGCCTTTATTATTTTTTACAAGTTTTATAATTAACAAAAATATAGTTCTGTTTTTTTACCCCTCAAACTAGGGTAACCTAATCAAGGCAAAAAAATTAAGAAATGGCTTACTGTTAAGCACAACACTTGTACAGTACTACAAAATGCACTGTCACTAACAAAGACATTAGCGGCATGCAGAAGTGTCACCTTCAGAAACAAAAGAATACAATAAAAGAACTGCTAAAAGGCATTTACATGTGGGGAAAGGAGAGAGAAAAAAAGCTCACGATCCAGTACTGTCTGATAGTTTTGGAGTCTATTTATCCACATTTTTAATGGGAGCAGGCACATAAAATGGCTCTGAACCATCAGCTGCTGTGTAGTTGCAGTTCATAGAAAGAGTTCTTCCTTTCCAGAGAACTTCAAGCTCAATGAAATCAACCAAAAAAATGGAAAACCACCTAATTCCCCCCAAAGAAAAAGAGTTAAAACCCACAAAAATGAAAAAGAAATCCACAACATCAAAATGAAACAAACGAAAAAAAAAACCAAACAAGAAATAAAGAAAAAAAAAGAAAAACTTGTATAAGGCTTTCTGCTGCATACAGCTTTAAAATGGTGCCAACAAAAGTTTTTGCATTCACACCAATTGCTGGTTTTGAAATCGTACTCTCCAAAAGATATTTGTGCAGATCAATCCAATAGGCCAGCTTGGTAGTCCGGCTCTCCAAAGGGCCTACCTTCTCATGTAGGAGCCATTAAGAGACTGCTTAGACATGCCTGTATTCATGTAGCCATGATGCCCTGGAGGCGTGTACATCATGTTACTGTGGGGTGCTGTCTGCATTGGCTGCTGTGCATATGGCTGAGTTCCCATCATCCCCATCTGCATCTGCATAGGGTACTGGGGCGTTTGATTCATATACCCATGATTACTGTGATATCCACTATTCATCATTGGCTGGGACATACTATAACCATTCATAGCATTAAGGGTATTCATGTTCATGTTCACCGAATTGACATTATAAGCTGGGGCTGGCATCAAATTGACACTCATGTTCATACCACGCTGCATCGTTAAGGTCCGTGCGGGTCCTTGCATGGCCACGGTCTGTGAAGCACGCCCGTAAATCTGCGGCTGATGGGCTGCAGCAGCAGGGGGCAGAGGGGTGGATTTGGTTCTTACAGAAACGTGGCCTTTGCTGGCCATCTGAGTCTGCAGTCTTTGGGTGTGGGATATTCCGATATTCGAAGAAGTCATATTACGCTGCAAAAGGGGAGGTGGCAGATTCATGGGAGGAGGAGTAAGGTTGGGGGGAGGGGTCATGGTAGCCTGTGCTTGGGGTCCTCCAGGAACAGCATGTGGAGACTGAGAAAGCTGAACGAGCCCTGTATTACTTAAGGGGGTGGACAAAGAGGCACTGTTTGCATAGGAAGTTACAGCAGCTGAGTGGCTGTAAGGCAAAGAATGATCCATAAGTGTGTTAGTTAACTGTTGCAGTTTGGCAAGGCTGAAGGTGGCAGATGGCTGTGAGTAATGCCCTGCTCCAAACTCACTCTGCCCCATTCTTTCATATAACCCAATGTTGGCATTGCCAGTCTCGGGGATCTCCGTTAACTGCATAGGTGGTGTAAAATTAGCGGCCATGCTGCACTGGGATAACTGTTGGTTGCTGCTTGGAGGCCTTTCAACAACACAGCCTTGGGGAGATTTCACATTACAAGTGGAAGGAGAATTGATGTTTGTTTGTTGCATCATACTGCAGCTTCCATTCATGTTAGACATCTGCTGTGTCACTGCACAGCTACTCTGTGTTAGGTTACTAGACGTAAGGCTACTGTATGAGCAACTGTTTTGAGAAGAGTTGTTTCCACAGATACTACTACCCATTGTAGAATCGTAACTGCTTGGGTTTTCATAGTTTTCTGTTGTGCTCTCAATGCTCCCCAAGTCACTAAACCCACTATCCACAACTTGCTGCGAATGATCGGAAACGGAGGGAACGTCCATCATGGGGCTGGTCTCCATGTTCTGTAGAGATGGCACAGAAATGGCACTTTGATCTGGGCTGATCTGAGCATAGCTGTTCTCTAGAGGAGCAACATTTGGACTACTAACAGAACGAACTGACTGGCTGGGATGAGAATGCACAGATGAAACTGGGCTACTGTGGTCAGACTGCTGACAATCATCCAGTGTGGTCATCTGGGGACTTTGGTCATTATGGGCATAGTTTTGCAAACTTCTACAGGCCTCTTGAGTCTCTGCACAGTCCTGAAACGTATCTTCATGTTCACTTGCTTCTTGGGTTAGAGACTGTACTGCTTGAACTGTCTCTGAATCGATCTCCATGGTCTCTGTACTCTCTCCCTTGAAATTGCAATGTAATTCTTCACCAGCTTTTTGGTCCTGGTTGCTATCTGTACGATCATCATCAGATTCAGGCACTGGGTCTGAATCTGCAGCAAGTTCTTTCTGGTCATTTTCACACTCATCAGCTGCAAGGTCAACACCACAATCCATTAAGTCCTCCTGATTTGCATTACCAGTTTGAACATTTACGTCTAAAAAAGACTGCTGCGTTTCCAGCATTTCTTTGAAAGCTTCACCAGGCAATTCCTCTTTCTCCACCTCTGTTGAATCCATGTGGCTATCATCTTCATCATCTGCATCATGATCCTCATTGTGGGAAGGTTCCTCCTCCTCCTCCTCCTCCTCCTCCTGATCGTCCAAATGCACGGACTCCTCTTTTTGCAGAAACACGTCTTCTGATTTGTCTTTTTCTTGATCTTTTGAACTGATTCCACCTTCTTCTACATTCTTTTCTTCTTCCCCAGCTTTCATCACATCATTTTCTTGTTTTTCAAAGGGTTCACTGGGTGGACGCAGAGGTTCAGGTTCTACCTCTTTTACCTCATCATCTGGTGGTGGTAATACTTCAACAGGCTCTTTAATCGCTTCCTCTGTAACAGCAGGAACTGAGCAGGGCTTGTCTTCCACTACTTCCTTCTGTTCCTCCACCAGCACCTGATAGTCAGGCTCCATAGGAGTCTCAGGTGGAGTGTATAAATTAAGCTTAAAGCCAGGTTTTCTTTCTTTGCTTTGTCTCCATTTAGATGGACCACGCTTAACTCCTTTGGGCCAACCCTGCTTACTCTTTAAAGGTTCAAGATTGTCTTTAGTGCTTTCTTCCAACACAGCTACATCCTCTGTATTATCTTTGGGAGGCAATAAAAAAGAGAAAAAAGAAAAGTCTTAGCTTACACAGGCAAATCAATATCTTCAAACATAAACCCAAAAATAAAACCAAAATGAATTAAGAAACTCTGGATCAAGAGTTATAAACAGATCTCAAACCACAAGAGAATGACATAATATCTACAGCTCAAACACACTTACACAGGTATGTAATATTCTTCTTGTTTGGTGGCCTTTTAGCTGTTACCATCAGAACCACCATTTATACACTAGAAGAATAGTAGATATTTAAATCACAAGACATCTAAACTAAAGCAAAAATATTGTCCAAGTATTTGATTATCAAGCTTTGATTTTAGAATAGAGGTATGCCAGCGCTTTTATAAAGACATCGATCTACGGCATATTTATCTTTTTGGAGAGTAATAACATAAGAGTCTGGAGTTTCCTCTTTGACCATTCTGGGGGACAATAATAAGCACATAACCATGCCTTAGTACCAACACTGAAAAAAAAAAAAGGTTCATTCTAATGTCTTCTCCTGGGCATCATGAGACAGCTTGCAATAAATGGCAAAAGGCAAAAGATAATTGAAATTAAACACAGAGCACATCAGAACACTAAATTAATCCACTAACTATAAAAACCTATGTAAACACACTCACTCCTCTCCTCTTTTCTCTCCCCAGATACCACTTACATATACACCAGAAAAAGAGAGAATTCTCAGGATGTAACATGCTGCACTTGGGAGTGTAATGTCTTCAGTGATACTCCTTTGCCAAGTTCTGCTTTTCACTGTACTGTTGTAACACTCCTAACAGTCAATTAGTGTGATGACATGGCCCATGGACAAATACAAAATATCAGTTTAGTTAATGCAGTGCAAACTTGACCACTGGGACATGGCTGAAACACTGAATTTGCTACTGTTAGCTTAATTAATTTCTGTTGAGAAGCAGGAAAGAGAGGTTAATATTCTAATGTACCTCCGCACTGGTTTGTAACATCAGCAACATTTACAGGCAGGGCTGCTCTAGTCACACAGCTATTTAAAACAGAAATCAGTTCATGATCCCTGAACTGAGGATTGCAAAGACTGAACTTCCCATGCAATTGTGAAAAAACTAAAATAGTACCCACCGGCTTCTTAGAGAAAATAAGGCATGAGACAATACAGACATGAGAATCCAGTCATTCATTCTGGAATTAAAACTTTCAAACATAATTAGAGTGCCAGGAGGTCAAGGGATGAGTAGATGTTCAGAACACCTCATTAGTAGTTTCATTATCCATCCATTAGCTTCTCTGCCAGGAAATATTCTTGAAATTTAACTAGGTAAGCAGTTTTGAAAGAACAAGGTGGAAACCATCTTCCTCTTTTAGGGGGGAGAAAAACAGGCACCTTAATGCTGAAGACATATTGTGCCCCAGAAACAAACATTTAATTTAATTACCAGCAGTGCTGAATAGGAAGACATTTGTGTAAATGAAATGTTACGTTTTGCCTGTATCCTTTACCAAGCATACAAAAACAGTTTTAGACAATATTCCAGTGATACCCCTGCTCTGCTGAGCATGAAATGCTCTGTTGAAGGGACATAAAAGTTGGTTTTGGCAACACGACATGGACTGCAATGCTTAAGAGTGGAAAACATTAGTTTTCTGAATACAAAAACCAGATTATAATATTAATGAGTCAGGAAAAACAAAAGAAGTAAACACAATAGAAACAAACCAAAAAAATCTGACTCCACTACTGATTTCTAATAAATTACATGTGATGAATGGCTCCAGTAGCACCTCTAATCAGAAAGCAGTATTAAGACCTTAATATTTTAAGACCAAAAAATGTCTAAATACATCCCATTAAAATTGTCCAGATTTATGACAAAGACATAGCCTTCCTTTGAATGACACCTGACAAATTAATTTTGTGAACATACAAGAACATTTTCAGCTTACTTGCACAATTGTCATCACTTCTGTAACAATGAATATCTTTATCCTCTTTGTTGTGCTCCTCTTCTTCCTCCTCCTCCTTCTCCTGTTTCTGCTGCCCAGGTTGGTACTCAAAAGCTTTTCTAATCACAGGCTTCAAGTCATCATCTTCCCCATCCATCTCACAGGTAGGTTCCAGCTGTGGCATGGGACGCT